TCAAGTGACCAAATTTTTACACGCATATCAGCCCCACCAGATACAACAGCAAAATCTAAAATGAATACAAAAGTTTTAAATTTAGATGAAAAAAAAACAGATTTTACCTGATGGAAAGAATCGACTTATATAAACATCTGCATCATGGCCTTTGAATTTACGTCGTATTTCACCTATAAATTAAATGAATATAATTATCTTAAATCTATTGATAATTTACCATTTTCAATATCCCAGATCGTTATTTCTCCATTACTTAATGCTGTTAAACCAACACCACCTGAGCTAATATCAAACCAATGTGGATAAACTGATGCTTGTGTTTGTTGTGTTTGATGCTTACTACGTTCAGGAACATCAATTAATGGATCTAATGTTGATCGATTCGCACTTTCTTCATGTCTACTCGTTGTAGAAAATGCTTTTTTTGTTCCTACAAATAAAAAGTTATTATTTATAATTTTCAATTAAATAAATGATTTATTTGCCTTGAAATGTATGACTAAAATTTGTATCACGAATTTTAATACGTAATTGTCGTTGGTTTTTATCGATATCTCCTGATTGAAAATTATCACTTGCTGATGTTCTATAAACTTTAGCTCCTTCGTCTGTTGATGCTTTTAGTGAACAAACACCATGAACATTTTGTGTAAGTCGAGATATACCAGCAGTACCATGTTTAAATTCAAGCCAAACATCTGCAGGTAATGAATTCTGTTCTATATTAAGAGCCCAATCATGCTGAATTAGAATACGTGGATGTGTTTCTACTTTATTTGAATCATTCGAACTAGTTTGAGCAGTCATATTTGTTTACAAAATCTAAAGATATGTCAACCAATCTATGATAATAGTTTAAACTGATGGTTGTACACCAATTCTTTCAATTTTTACTCACAAGATAAAGAAACAAGAAAAGGAGAGAACAATATGTATGTATGTATGTATGTATGTCTGACATTATCGTGTAAAAAAAGCAGACAAGAATAAGAACAAAGAAAAGAGAAATGTTGCTTGTCATGATGCAAAAATGACAACGAGAAACAAAATGGGACAATACATACAAGCTAAGTGTGTGAATGGTTTTTTTTTCATTTTTTTTTTGATATACATCAAACAGTCACAGTACGAACAAATACAAAAAAAGAAAAAAACAATCAAATCAATAGTGTACTTATATATATACACTATCAAAGAAGAAGAAACAAGGAAAAAAACAAGAATCGAGTCAAGAATATGAATCAAAAAAAAACAAATAGCGCAATACTTTCTTTTTCTTTCTCCTTTAATGTTTATTATTACTCGATCAACATATGTAGAAAAACAACAATGAATTATATCTAATCATCACCTTCAGATTCATTATCATCGTCATCATTATCATCATCCTCATCATCATCATCATCATGTCGTTGGTCACCATTATTATTATTAGTAGTAGTAGTAGTATTATTATTATTCGTAGAATTCGCATTAGCTGTTGTTAAAGTTTGGTAAGTCTAATTAATAAAACAAATAAATAAATAGAGAAATAACACAAACTATTATTATTTTGTTTCTGTACCTGATGTTGAAGATGCTGTTGCAATTGTTGTTGTTGTAATGCTTGGAATTGTTGCATTTGAACCTATATATTCAAATTAGAAAATTTTTATTTTTATGACTATGACATGTTTAAAATAAAATTTAAAAAGCGGCAATATAAGAAGAAGAAGTAAGCACACGCACACACATATTTACATATATATATGTATGTATATATATAGAATACTGAGATGACGAACGAATGGAGCATAGCAATATATAAGGATATAGAATACTTACCGTTGGTTATTTATCATAAGTTTTTTAATAGAAGAAGTAAAAACAGTTTATGTTTATCATTCTTTTTTTTCTATCTTTCTGATTTTGTTATGTAGACACAAAACAAGAACAACAAACAAAAAAAAACAACTGACAATAGATTTTTTTTAAATACAAAAAAAAAACTTTGGAGAAAAAATTAAACCGGAAGAATAAAAAATGATGATAAGTAATTTTAATATACTAATTATTTATCAATGACATTTTTATCTTTATAAACACTATTTATCAGAATTGTTATAAGAAAACAAAAACAAACAAATAAAGGAAAAGAGGAAGAGAGATTCATCAATCATATATACATATATGAATAGTAATAAATAAAAATTGGTCACTGATTTCCGTAGACTTTATATGGAAGAGAAAGAGATTGGTTATGTGTGTGTATATATATATATATGTGTATATGTGTGTGTGTGCATACTACTACCTAATTCTCACTAATATCCTACATTGTTATGTGGCATTGACAATGGATAACCATTATAAGAAGAAAAAAGTGAAGCTGCCAAATTATTATCTTGAAAATTGTTCATTTGAGCAAAAGCCTCGAAAGAAAATTGCAAATAAAATTAATCAATCAAATTTACTAATTACTTGTGGTTGAAAAGTTTGCATTGGATTAAATGATGGTAATTGATATGGTGTCGAAGAATACTGTTGCGGTTGTTGTTGTTGTGTCTATATAAATAAAAGAAAGAAAAATTTTAAGATTTTATAAGAAAATCAAATAACAAAAATCATTATTTACTTCTTGATGTATTCTGACTTGTTGATCGGAATGATGCGATTGTTGTTGTTGTTGTTGCTGTTGTTGCTGTAGTTGTTGTTGCTGCTGTTGTTGCTGTTGTTGTTGTTGTTGTTGTTGTTGTTGCTGCTGCTGTTGCTGTTGCTGCTGCTGTGCTAATGCTTGAGATGATGAATTTGATTTTGCAACTTTTTTATTTGCTAATCTGAAACCATTCATTTCCTAATGATAATAATAGAAGAAAGAAAAATCAATAATAGAAAAAAAAATCAATTAATCATGACTGACTTTTTCATATCTTTCTTTATCTCGTTGTGCTGATTCTTCATAAGTTAGTTTTCCTTCAGGTGCAGTATGATTCCATCTATCACCTAATTCTTTAGCAATTTCACCAACAGATAAACTTGGATTTACTGCTTTTAATTTAGGACGTTCTTCTTTACAATAATGAAAAAAAGCCGATCTAAAAAATAATTTATAATTTATATTAGTATTTTGTTTTTAATTAAAAACAAATAGATTATTTTACAATGGTCGTTTTGGTGCCAATGGATCTTTTTTCTTCTTTTTACGTTTTTCACCGGGTTGATAAACAGCCATTTCACGTTCAAATCGTTGTTTATCTACTTCAGCTTGTGCAGCAAATTTAGATTTTTCATTATCAGTCATTGTCTAATAAATAGAAAAACAAAATTATTAACTTTTTTTCGTTCTCATACACAACTGTTCGTGTAATGATTCACTTAATCCTTAAAAAAAACTTTTTTTTGTTATTTGTCCTTGATCAAAGAATATATAGAAAAAACAAAGTATAATAGATTTGATTGTAAAATGAAAAATCTACGAAATTATCATTTAATTATATGAAAAAAGGAATTGATGAATTTTTGATTAATCCTGTTATGATTTTAGGCTGACATATATAATATGTTCATTTATAAGATTATAGCTTTAGATTCTCTCATTATTTTTAAGCGGATATCTTTAATTTATTATTATTTTCTTACCTTCCATTTTTCAGCACATTTTTTTGAAAATTCACTAAAATTAGCATTTTCATTTGGATATGCTTTTCTATGTTCATCTCGACATTTTTGTACAAAAAATGTATATGCGCTCATTCGACCTTTTGGTTTATTCATTTCTTTAGGTGGATGAGAATGCTGATGATGATCACGATTAGATGATGATGTTCCTGTTGATTGTGGAATTAAATGATGAACTTGCTGTGGTTGTTGCATCATATGTGGTAATGTTGCTTGTTGCTGTTGTTGTGGATGATAACTAAAAAGGAAATTACAATAATAATAATGTTAACCATCTACGAAATTCAATTAATAAAAAAACTATAAAAAATAAATCTTTTCCTATTCATCTTTTTCTACTTTACTCACTACATTTGCATGTGTTGTGCTTGTTGTTGTTGTTGCTGTTGTTGCGGCACTATCATCGATTGATAATATAGTGCAGAAGTCATTGGTAAATATTTATGAATAATGTATTACATCGATAATTATTCGATCTGTAATCGAAGAATTTTTATTTATATTGAACATCATGTATATTATCAATTCAACCATCATCATCATCAT